TTTAAACATTGTTTATTGTGACGATTGTTGAGATGTTTTGAACACTGTTTATTGTGACGATTATTGAGAAGGTTTTGAACACTGTTTATTGTAACTGTTGCTGGGATGTTTTGAACACTGTTTATTGTGACTGTTGTTGAGATATTTTGAATATTTTTTATTGTGACGGTTGCTGAGATGTTTTGAACACTGTTTATTGTAGCTGTTGTTGAGATGTTCTGAACACTGTTTATTGTGACGGTTGTTGAGATGTTTTAAACACTGTTTATTGTGACTGTTGTTGAGATGTCTTGAACACTGTTTATTGTGACTGTTGTTGAGATATTTTGAACATTTTTTATTGTGACGGTTGCTGAGATGTTTTGAACACTGTTTATTGTAGTGCCTGTTGTTGAGATATTTTGAACACTGTTTATTGTGACGGTTGTTGAGATGTCTTGAACACTGTTTATTATGACTGCGGTTGGTATGTATTAAACCTTGGTTATTATGACCGTTGTTGGAATATCTTGAACACTGTTTATTGTGACGGGGGTTGAGATGTCTTGAACACTGTTTATTGTGACCGTTGTTGAGATGTCTTGAACACTGTTTATTGTGCCGGTTGTTGAGATGTCTTGAACACTGTTTATTATGACTGTGGTTGATATGTATTAAACCCTGTTTATTATGATCGTTGTTGGAATATCTTGAACACTGTTTATTGTGACGGTGGTTGAGGTGTCTTGAACACTGTTTATTGTGACGGTGGTTGAAATGTCTTGAACACTGTTTATTGTGACGGTTGTTGAGATGTCTTGAACACTGTTTATTATGACTGTGGTTGATATGTATTAAACCTTGTTTATTATGACCGTTGTTGGAATATCTTGAACACTGTTTATTGTGATCGTGGTTGAGATGTCTTGAACACTGTTTATTGTGACGGTGGTTGAGATGTCTTGAACACTGTTTATTGTGACGGTTGTTGTATTGTAAATGTTGTTGACTTGTCGTTATTGTCTCAGATTTTAATTGTTGTGCTGTGACTGATACCGGTATATGTGGATAATGGTTGTGACATAATTTGGTCGTTTTCCTTAGGCTCTTGTATGCTGTTTGGGTAGTTGTCGGTATGTCGGTTTTTCTGTATGTCTGGTAAAGTGTATGTTGAATTGTGATTGTTGTCCGTATGTTTATTACATAGTATGCGGTGTAGTGTACGTAGTTTGGTATGTCTGAAACAAAAGATACTTTGCTCGGAGTATTTTGGAATATACATTATTAATATTTAATATCTTGTAACTGCAGTCGTATGCCTTGGTTTTGGTTTGTTTTGTTTTTAAACAGTGTTTGCCATAATGTGAGTGTTGTCGGTAGGTCGAGGACAAGAAAATGATGCGATTGATGAGAGAATATTATGATCATTGTGACATGTTTGCTATACGGTGAATTTGTTTACAGCCATTATATCGGGATGAAGGTCGTGTTTTTAAAGAGCTTTCTTTTATTATAAAGACGAAAAGCAAAAAACAACCATGGTAGAAAGAAATTGGAGCAAAGTTTGTGAAAGCAAGGCAAAGGCCACTATGAAAAATAACCATTTTACTACACCATATGGCTGTTAGGACAGGTTAGCAATATCTTTGTTGAATTCAGCATCGAGTTCTTCAAGCAGATTATTGTCGTAGAATTCATGGGACAGAATGTGATCCTCTCTTGAACGACCTATTTTCGCTTTTATATGGAGCTGAATTTGTAAAAGGGATTTAAAAGACAAGTAACAACAAGAGGCCCAATGGGCCTGCATCGCTCACCTGGTATAAAACTCACACTTGTAACCTTACAGGCAAAATATCAGTATTTATGATTAAAATTCATTCAAAAGACCCTGTTATTTTTTTTTAACATTTCACCCCTGTGATTGAAAGCTTCTGGCCAAATATCATCAAACTGGGCATTTTGGTTATTCAGAAGAAGTTGTTTAAAGTTTGTAACATATTTGACCCTGTGACCTTGAATATAGGTGAAGGTCATTCATTTGAACAAATCTTGTAGCCCTTCATCTCAGCTAGCTACTGGCCAAATATCAACAACCTGGGCATTTTGGTTATTCAGAACAAGTTGTTTGAAGTTTTAAACATATTTGACCCATGTGACCCTGAATATGGGTGAAGGTCATTCATTTGAACAAATTTTGTAGCCCTTCATCTCAGCATGCTACTGGCAAAATATCATCGCCCTGTGCATTTTGGTTATTCAGAAGAAGTTGTTTAAAGTTTTTAAACATATTTGACCCCTGTGACCTTGAATATGGGTGAAGGTCATTCATTTGAACAAATTTTGTAGCCCTTCATCTCAGCATGCTACTGGCAAAATATCGTCACCCTGTGCATTTTGGTTATTCAGAAGAAGTTGTTTAAAGTTTTAAACATATTTGACCCCTGTGACCCTGAATATGAGTGAAGGTCATTCATTTGAACAAACTTTGTAGCCCGTCATCTCAGCTTGCTACTGGCCAAATATCATCACCCAGGGCATTTTGGTTATTCAGAAGAAGTTGTTTAAAGTTTTTAAACATATTTGACCCCTGTGACCTTGAATATGGGTGAAGGTCATTCATTTGAACAAACTTTGTAGCCCGTCATCTCAGCTTGCTACTGGCCAAATATCATCACCCAGGGCATTTTGGTTATTCAGAAGAAGTTGTTTAAAGTTTGTAACATATTTGACCCTGTGACCTTGAATATAGGTGAAGGTCATTCATTTGAACAAATCTTGTAGCCCTTCATCTCAGCTAGCTACTGGCCAAATATCATCAACCTGGGCATTTTGGTTATTCAGAACAAGTTGTTTGAAGTTTTAAACATATTTGACCCATGTGACCCTGAATATGGGTGAAGGTCATTCATTTGAACAAACTTTGTAGCCCTTCATCTCAGCTTGCTACTGGCCAAATATCATCACCCAGGGCATTTTGGTTATTGAGAAGAAGTTGTTTAAAGTTTTTAACATATTTGACCCCTGTGACCTTGAATATGGGTGAAGGTCATTCATTTGAACAAACTTTGTAGCACTTCATCTCAGCATGCTACTGGCCAAATATCATCACCCTGAGCATTTTGGTTATTCAGAAGAAGTTGTTTAAAGGTTTTTTAATACAATTGACCCCTGTGACCTTGAATATAATTGAAGGTCATTCATTTGAACAAACTTGGTAGCCCTTCACCCAAGCATGCTACTGGCCAAATATCAACTCCCTGGGCATTTTGGTTATTGAGAAGAAGATGTTTAAAGTTTTTGACATATTTGACCCCTGTGACCTTGAAAATAGGTTAAGGTCATTAATTTTAACAAACTTTGTAGCCCTTCATCCAAGTTTGCTTCTGGCCAAATATCGACACCCTAGGCCTTTCAGTTATTAAGAAGCAGTCGTTTAAAGTAAAATATTGACGCCGTACGACAGCCACGGACGACGGACGACGGACGCCGCGCCACGGCATAAGCTCACTTGGCACTTCGTGCCAGGTGAGCTAAAAATGTTGACAAGTCCATGAATTCACTTTCAGATAAATCATTGATGTGTTTCCTTTAAATAAGATGAAACTAATTAACCATGTCTATCGTATTGACCTTGAAATCAGACGTTACAGATACTTCTACATCTGCTGCTCGCCTGGTACTTACTAAAACCAAGACTAACAAAGAGACTTAACTATTAAGCTGTATGAAATGTGTCTGTGTCGATTTTCCGAAATCCCCTACCTTTACCTTTATTGACATTGACATCCATGCTTCTACTATTTAAGTTGTTTACAAATCGCAGTAAAGTTGATACCATGAGGCATGTGTTGTAACCTTCTTCGGCAAGAAGGATAGGACGTATCATCGTTCATACAGCATTTGTGTACACTCAAGCAAAACACTATTTAGTAGGTGTCTGTTTACATTGATGAGCTGTAAAACTCCAGCTACATAAAGTATTTTAATTATTTAAATTATATGCCATTATCATCAAGGTTTCCTGTGCGCTTCCTTATGTTAAAGACACAAAGGTAAATATCTGATAACAGAAAACTCGTAATGTTTGTTCGGCTCGGTGCTTATTCGGTTTATGTGATAGCTTCGTGTCTGAGTTTTGAGGGGTTTTTTTGCACTATAAAGTTGTGATATCTTAATTTGTTTTCTTTGCGATGTAAACAAACAGAAACAGTTTTACCTAGCTATATGATCCATTCGCTGGAATGTCCCCTGTCATACAGGAGCATGTCCTCATTTACGTCAACAATGACCTACGACACATCTGGACCATGACTTTTCTCATTGTAGGCGCTCAAACTCCAATGTGTTCCGACTTCTCGTAAAGTACATTGATAGTGTCCCTCCATGATTTATCAGATTATTCTATTACATATTGTATTGGAAAAGTCCAAACATATTGAGTCATATATTTAGGTCTATAGGTGCTACTGATAGAACAAACACTGCAGTTGCCATTGCCATGCCAGTCTTTGAAATCCATGGTTTTGCTGTTTAATGTTAACATACCTTGTATTTGTTCAATGATTTGCATCTTCACAATAGCTACGATCATATCGGTATTAACTGATGCTGTAGACGCTTTAATCTTAAAAAAAAAATTAAAAAAAAATGATGTAAAGTGGACACGGAAACATAGTGTAATGCGGATTTACCGCTTCCGGAAATCGGGGTCCGGTCCCCTGATTTGATATTAGACACCTAAGCACGTTATCTGGGGTTCGTTGAGTTTTACCGCCATTAAAAGGTTGCACTGAAAACTCGGACGATCTTTGTGTTTTTATTGAAGAACACAGTCAGCCATCCGGCACAACAAGTAGTGTCAGTTTGATAAACCTGTTTATGTTTATTTCTGGGCTGGTACATGCGACATAACCTCAAAGCAAGGCGGTTATATAAGCATTTCTGGTACCTGTGTTAACACTGTACACAAAATTATCAACTGCTACAAAAGAGCGAAGGACTACACAATAAAACAGGGGTGCAAAATTCAATTTATTGAATACCTGTTTATTCGGTTAGCCTTTACAATGATATCCAAGGTCACCATAATCCGAGCAAGTTTCTAGAAACAGATGCTGAAGTTTCCAGCCAGGTACACTTCTTGAACTCTAAAATTGAACTCTCAACAAAGAACTTGGTACCACAACACTTAAATTCAATGCTGATCTTCGTGATTGTCGAAAAAAGGGAAAAGAGCGATATTTCAGAGAATTATTGGAGGACAGTCTCCATCCTGGGGAACTCTTGGCGAGGAAGTGGTTTAGGCGACTTGAATTAAATATTGTGAAAACTTGTTTTGTGGACCAGGACATTTTGAAGGTCCACGTTAACCAACAGGAACTGTTACAGTTAGCATTTGAACAAAATGAGTGATAAAGAACAAGAAGTCACCCCAGGGGAAGGAGAGTCTTCAGTAGACACTGCGTCAGCTGCGGCATACGGTATGCTTCAATTGGTAATGAAAAGTTTTGATGAGCAGCGTGATAAACAAATGAAGATGTTTCGGCAAACTATGGGGGAGTTTGAAGACGAAAAGAAACGAAGCTTTGAGGCACAAAGTGAAATGATGAAGTCCTTCATGCAGGAGACAGGTCATGATATTCAAAATGCAAAATTCAAAAAGGACATCAAGCACCGCTTGCACAGAGTACATTTTCATCTATGGGTCCACAACAAGAATTCGTAAAGTCGACAGACAGATGATCGTTTGGTGGTTTTGACGAAGAACTCCTGGTGATCCAGGATAGAGAACGCTCATATTCAAGCCCAAACTTTAATGGACAGAACTCTGCACTATCCAGTACCCTCTCATTGGAAAGACAGGATATGGGACGTATGCTAAACAGACATCAAGGAAAAGGTCCTCAAACAAAACTTCCAGTGTTTGAGGGAAAGGAGGATATAGAGGTTTTATCGTTCCCTTTGAACGGTTAGCAGAGCGTTATAACTGGACAGACAATGAGAAAGTTGACAGACTCTACGAATGTCTAAAAGTAAGGGCCATGTGATACATCTGCTCCTTACCAAGGGCGATGAGAAGAGATTACAGGAATCTAAAGGATAGTCTGATCAAGCGGTTCGGACGAAGAGACCCACCCACAACAGCGCGATCAAAATTACATGAAGTAAGGCAACGCAGCCTAAGTAATGACGAATTTGGGGAAGAGGTTTGACGCCTAGTTACCCTTGCTTATCCTAATGTAGATCTCGACTTGGAGGATCAATTGGCTGCAGAGGCATTCCTCAAGGAGTACAAGAACCCCAAGGTAACTTATGATGTGTTGAACAAGAAACCTAAACTATCAATGAGGCTATTGAAATGGTTACTTCACAAGAACATAACTTCAAAGCCACCATCGGTAGGGAGAAAGAGATACGAGACAGGGCTCGGCGCGTTTCATGGGCTGATGGGGCTGGTGTAAAAATGTCTCCGATGGCGAAGAAGCGTTGAATACACAGCGTGTTCAATTGCCAAACACTGCCTTAGAGTCGGACAGCCTCAGTAAATTAGATGTTCGGATGAAACAGCTGGAGGATCTTGTTCGTAATAGCTCGCTAGAGTGTCGCGCAAGATTCGACCAGTTAGGGAACGAACGCCAAGGTGGATTTAACAAAGAAGGAAAGGAATGTTACAGATGTGGTGGTAAGGGTCACTTCCAAAGAGATTGCAGCTCTAGGAGATCACTGCGACTCCTGGTTCCATTCCAGATGAGAAAAAAGATCATGCGGGCGTGTTATGAAGCTGTTTACTTTGGTCATCAAAGGGAGAAGAGAACTCTGGAACGAGTGAAGAAGGACTTTCACTGGCACAACATGTCGATGAATGTGAACATATTTGTTCGGAAATGTCATGTAAGTGCCGCTGAAAAGAAGAGAAGTAGAACTATGAGCACCTCTGCAGACCTACATCTACGGAGCGCCAATGGACAGGATACAATTAGATGTCGTTGGGCCTTTTCCTATTCTTGATGCTGGGAACAAATACATACTTGCCATCATTGACCAATTCACCAAGTGGATCGAGGCTTACCCAATCACACAACAGGACAGCAACACGACAGCGAAAAAACTGGTCCTGGAGTTCATCTCTAGATTCGGTGTACCCCTGGAGATCCACACGGATCAAGGACGAAACTTCCAAAACGCCATGTTCAAGGAAGTATGCCGGTTACTCGGAATCGCACAGACCAGGACTACGCCCCATCACCCTTTATCTAATGGTCAGGTTGAGCGGTTTAATCGCACGCTGTTGCAGATGATCAGGTGTTATCTAGATCATGGCCAGGCGAATTGGGATGAGAACATTCCCCTTCTTCTGTCTGCATATCGAAGTACGCCACACCCTGCTACATGATTTACACCAAACCTGTTGATGCGGGGTAGAGAGGGCCATTCTCCTCCCGAGCTGATCTACATGGATCCGGATATTTCGCGTTCCTCTGATGACGCACCCACATACCTCGACCGGATGTTAGAGGGTATGCACATTACTGAGGAATAAGCTAGGAAAACATTGAGGGCTTCAAAGGTACATCAGAAAAAAGTATATGATCTACGGGCTAGGGGAAGAGAGTACCACGTCGTGGACCTTGTATACGTGAAGAACCAATCACGATCTGTTGGACAATCTCCAAAACTTCAATCTGTTTGGAATGGTCCTTTTGTTATCACAAAGAAATTTGGTCCGGTCGTGTATGAGGTCTGTCGCCGCAAGAAGGTCTCAGTTCTTCACCATGTCCGGCTAAAACAATATTTGTCTGAGGTCATCCCGGCCTGGGTTACCAAGATAAAGCATGATCTTGGTACCTCCGCTCTCCCAACGATTGCTGAGGAAGACCATCTTCCAACCATGGATAAGAAGTTCGGGACAGAGGAAAACCACCACGAGCCGCAGAACAGCCAACAATCACTGAAAGCCAGTTTTTCAGAGGAAGAGCCAAAGACATCCGTGCCAACTGGAAGGTGTTCACAGCGAACCATCCCAGATGAACAATCCCGGTCCTAGCGTTACGGCCGGGCATATAAGCAGCTTACCAAGCTTGACCTTTAGCAGGAGCTAAAGGAGCCTGGAAGGGGGTAGTGTAATGCGGATTTACCGCTTACGGAAATCGGGGTCCGGTCCCCGGATTTGATATTAAGACACGTAAGCACGTTATCCGGGGTTCGTTGAGTTTTACCGCCATTAAAAGGTTGCACTGAAAACTCGGACGATCTTTGTGTTTTTATTGAAGAACACAGCCAGCCATCCGACACAACAATACTATTCCATCTGGTCACGTAATAAAGCAACAGATTCGTTTTGGACTCTCCGGTATCCTTAAAGCTGAACACAATGAAGAACCCTACATTTAACAAGGTGTCCAATAGAGTCGCCTCGGCATGCAGTGTAGATGGGATGAGGCACAATTTTTCCCAACCATAATATCCTATTATATGTATACTTTACAGCTTCCTGTATACTCTACAGATAGTTTAACATCTTTAAATCCCGGTATATCCTACAAATGAAGTTTGATACCACGAAACACAGGAACGGATACAAGAAGACAAAAAATAACCATAATGGCTATCACAGGACCGGGTTTAACAATCTGGTTACCACAACGGTTACTCGACAAACGCTTAGACAAAACACACCCCGACTGCGTAGCTCCTTTGTTACTCTAATACATGGTAAAGAATGAAGGGATAAACACATACCAATTGCGTAGCCCCTTTGTTACTCTAATACATGGTAAAGAATGAAGGGATAAACACATACCAATTGCGTAGCCCCTTTGTTACTCTAATACATGGTAAAGAATGAAGGGATAAACACATACCAATTGCGTAGCCCCTTTGTTACTCTAATACATGGTAAAGAATGAAGGGATAAACACATACCAATTGCGTAGCCCCTTTGTTACTCTAATACATGGTAAAGAATGAAGGGATAAACACATACCAATTGCGTAGCCCCTTTGTTACTCTAATACATGGTAAAGAATGAAGAAATAAACACATACCGACTGCGTAGCTCCTTTGTTACTCTAATGCATGGTAAAGAATGAAGGGATAAACACATACCAATTGCGTAGCCCCTTTGTTACTCTTATACAAGGTAAAGAATGAAGGGATAAACACATACCAATTGCGTAGCCCCTTTGTTACTCTAATACATGGTAAAGAATGAAGGGATAAACACATACCGATTGCGTAGCCCCTTTGTTACTCTAATACATGGTAAAGAATGAGGGGATATTTAAAAAAAGAAATAGACAAAAATTAGGGAAACGATTATTGTGCAATAATCTCAATGCAACAGTAAACAACATCAGCATATTGTTCAGTATATTAAAGTGAATACAGAACATATCTGATGTATTGGATACATTGTATGTTATCCTGTACCAGAAATGTGTCCTTAATATCATCAAAACCAAACCTAACCATATAAAATCTACATTTGATACAAGTCTGGCATCAACTACGTGCTGAAAACATTGTGTTTTTAACTCATATGAAATTGGTATAACAGATACTGTACACGTACTTATTTTAGCGTACACATATCTCAGCGCATTATCGAATTTTAACAGAAAAGCTCATTGATGAATCGCCCACGATATTTGCTAAATGTGACAATTTATAAAATCATCAATTAGCGCTTATATAATTTGGCGCAATAGTAAAAACGCGAAAAACGCTAAAGCTAGATTACAAAATGTACGCTAAAAGAATATGATTCATAAGAGGTCATCTGTACTTTTACTCTCACAATATTGAATCCAATCATGTGTCGCACCCGAGGTGTGCTTTATTTGGTTGTTTAATACAAGGCTCTGTCTCCAAGGTAAGTGATTGTAATTGTTCTCTCATCATTCCAAATTCTTTGTTTAAAAACAAGCTTTTGTAATATATTTATTTTCTTGATTCGTACATGACCTCATCATCTCTCATCAAGAGTTCATTATGACTTCACATCCAATTGTTTACGTGACATCATAGTTTTTTCTGTGTTTAATCTGTCGAACCCTAGGAGGTGACAGAGAAATCATACTTTTGGGGATGACAGAGACATCCTGAACAAGTAAAACGGGAGACAATCCAATCAAAGTTTGGAAAATACACTGTTCACTGGTCTTTCTAATACGGTTTAATAACATTAGTAGACGCAAACATTTCAGTCTCTATATCCCTGTCAATATAATGAGAAATAAATTATTACATTCAATGTATAAGAAGCTGCGTGATCGAACTTCATTTCATTGTGTTTCCCCAGAGCTTTCCTTCGTGATCCATTTCATTTAATTCTGTGGTGAAAGAACGCGTACGTGACACCCAGATGCCTCCAGCCACAGGTATTTCCTAACGTATCCATCAATGATATAACAGGCAAAGCTGCATGGTTTAGAAGTTGTACATACATATAACTTTAATACAGGACAAAACCACACTGATAACCTCAACATAACTCTTAATATACAATGAAATTCGAAAAATAGATAAATACATCTTGCGTATTTGATGATAGACAAAGAAATATACACCTTCTGTAGGTAAATACAAACAATATATCATAATTATTACATGTAGACATCAAGATCTTATATTTACACCTGCAAAAGCACTGTATCGATTATGGTATTTAATATAATAGAACCAATTTAACAAAAATGAAACATTTACAAACAACAAAAATTGACGTTATGGTCAGTATTGGTGTAACCATCCCCGTAAACCCAAACGTCATGTGAAAACGATGTCCGTGAAAGATGGAGCCACTTATATATAAGTTTGGGCCACTTTAAAATGCTATCTCACGGAAATGTGTTAAGCGTGACACTGTGGTACGACACTCCACCTGGTCACTCGACTGTCATAACCTGGACACTGTGGTATGACACTCCACCCGGTCACTGAAATGTCATAACCTGAACACTGTAGTACCACACTCCACCCGATCACTGAAATGTCATAACCTGGACACTGTGGTACGACACTCCACCTGGTCACTCGACTGTCATAACCTGGACACTGTAGTATGACATTCCACCTGGTCACTGAAATGTCATAACCTGGACACTGTAGTATGACACTCCACCCGATCACTGAAATGTCATAACCTGGACACTGTAGTACGACACTCCACTCGGTCACATTATACAGACAATAGTCCTAGTCTAACCAGTTCTAACCGTCCAGCTTAGCAGTGGGTACCAATGTTTGGGACTTGTCTAAGTCTAAGTTATATAATATCATAAAGTATATAAACATCATACAAGTGTGATCAGCGCCGGAGTCAGGGGCAGAACCTGTAACCTTCCTTTCTTGATTTACCGCCCAGCACCACTGCCAAAAGGGTCAATATTACCAAGTAAGGCGTACGGCAAAAAATGTTAAAAATTTACATATAAAAATCTCTAATGTTACAATGGAGTAGCAGATCTATTTGTATAGTTTTGGTGTTCCCTAGTTGGGGAAACAAAGGCAAATGGAATCAGGTGATCTTACATGAAGCAAAGAATTATAACAAGCATAAAAGAATGATATTATGCATTTAACAATTCTTACAGATAGTCACATACATTGTACTAAATACATATCCAGCACACTCTCAGGAATACACACATAGGGAGATATTAATCAGGTGGCATAGGACTAGTAGTTAGCGCCTGATAAGGCAGCTCCAGCAAATTTCTCAAAAAAAGTATTGATTAATGTATTATTTAATGTTAATTGTATTGATTGTATAAATTCTATATCTATGTACTGTAAAGCACTTTAGGGTGGCTTATTCTAGCTAGATAGGGCGTTATATCAAATGTTGTATAGTTATTTATATATCTTTTTTACAGATAGGTTACACTAATAGATCTTATAACATCAGAAAATGTTTGGACATCTTCAATTGGAGACAAAATCTCCATCAGGAATACATTTTTGACCATCATTCTAGACTTCAACAATAAAATGTTCTTAAAACTAATAGCAAACAAATTGTCCTCAAATTATTAAGGAATAAAAACTCTATCTACTCTTTACTGATGTGGAGTGGGGTTTTCAGGTTTATCATCATTCCCTGATCTTAATTCAGTTAGCTCTACTCCCCTTCTTACTCTCCATCCTAGTGGTGACTTCTCACAAAATATATATCACAGATCCATTGAAAACTACACGAAAATGAAATTCATCATGACTACAAAAACAAATATCACCCCAGTATAAAAATATCAAGATTTCTACCTCCAAACAATAATTGCATCAAATTAAACAGTTTCAATGTTTACATCAGAGCTTTTGTTAAATTTCTACAGTAGAAGGTTTAGTTGGAACAATTCTTATAACGAACGTGGACACCTTGTGATGCGACATCAACTACCGAATACTGGAACACTGCAAAACCATGGCAGGCCGCTCCTGAAGAAAAAAATGTACAATATAAATACTGGGTCAGGCCCCACCTTACGGTGACCATGACGTTAACTCAGTTCTTTTACAGTCCAGGGCATACGCTGTATGAGGTAACTCAGAAATTTGATGATATTGCAGTACTCCATTCCTGGTATGTGTAACTGCTTAATACACATGGCAGGATAATAAAGGAAATATATTTAATCATTCTTCATACACTTATACACTGATGTTTGTACCATATTCGTTCATAACAAAATTATTTTTCAGAAAACGTATTGAACTTGAATTTCCAAAAGGGCAAGTATTACTTCAGTTACGAAAACTGTTGTCTAAAGCTAAATCGATTGTGATAATAATGCCAGGGCCAGTATTCCTGAAACAGTTCTCAGGCTCGGGCATGGGTTCTGTGCTCAAACCAGCTCTCTTGTAACTCGACACTTAGATCATGTCAAACAATCAAAACTCAATCGTAACCATTGAAAACAGTAATCGGGTTTAAGTCTCAAAATTATTCACAAAAAAAATCAAAAAAATCTAGATCTATTGATTCGACTATTAATTAACAGGAACCAGAACGTGGGCTTGAGTACAAAATCCATGCTTGAGCATGAGAACGGTTTCATGAATACGGGCCCAGGTACTGTGATAAAGACGACAGAATACAAGTGAGTTTCAAGAGAGTGAATGTAATTATTTCTATTTGTAATGACCAATTATACATTATGTTCAAGGCTATATTTCCTGTATTACTTAAAGAACTTTACACTTTCCATCGATGTTAATGTCCAACATTCAACTCGGTAAATATATTTATTGGGCGTGAGTATACTGCATATTGGTAAACATTCCCCCTTCACTGCTAAACTCGAAATTCCTCCAGTAATCATTTAACACTTGTAATCTATATAGATTGTTATGTACTCACATTCGCTTTCATGATAAAATCACCTTCATTACAGAGGGCAAAAAAAACACAAGGGATAAAATGTCCAGGTACAAAGTACATGCATTTATATGGAGGGTCAATGGCTAGTTTTGGTGCTTATTATGGCTTTTAATATGTATAGTGAAATCCAGGAGAACTAAATTACTTGTTCTCTTCAGTAAAACATGTTTATGACAAACACCTTGGTCCCCCAGGGGCCATTTCATTTAGTCTCTTGCAATAGAGGCTATTTATTCTTACGCCTTGATTGGGATTATGTTACAGAATCTTAGCCCTGGACTGAGATTAACCGATCTCGCTTAGCTACAGGTAATAGATTTAATTAATCTCTACCTTCCCTACCAGTGTGTGAAGGATATATCTCTCTCTTACATATAGGGTGAGGGTATCCAAAATGGAACACTTTTTAAAGAAAAATATTAACATTTCCTATAAATTTCTGAAAGATCATTTTTTTTACTGTAATGAAACAATATCTCTATCTCCCTTACATGTTCCTATGTCTGTATCCCCCATACCAATGTGTCTCGGATATATCTATCTCCCTTGCATGTTCCTATGTCTATATCCTCCATACCAATGGGTGTAGGATATCTATATCTCCCTTACATGTTCCGATGTCTGTATCCCCCATACCAATGTGTGTAGGATTTCTCTACCTCCCATACATGTTCCTATGTCGATATCCCCCATACCAATGTGTGTAGGATATCTGTACCTCCCATACATGTTCCTATGTCTGTATCCCCCATGCCAATGTGTGTAGGATATATCTATCTCCCGTACATGTTCCTATGTCTATATTCCCCATACCAATGTGTGTAGGATATCTCTATCTCCCTTACATGTTCCTATGTCTATATCCTCCATACCAATGTGTGTAGGATATATCTATCTCCCTTACATGTTCCTATGTCTATATTCCCCATACCAATGTGTGTAGGATATCTCTACCTCCCATACATGTTCCTATGTCGATATCCCCCATACCAATGTGTGTAGGATATATCTATCTCCCTTGCATGTTCCTATGTCTATATCCCCCATACCAATGTGAGTAGGATATGTCTATCTCCCTTACATATTCCTATGTCTATATCCACCATACCAATGGGTGTAGGATATCTCTATCACCCTTACATGTTCCTATGTCTATATCCCCCATACCACTGGGTGTAGGATATCTCTATCTCCCATACATGTTCCTATGTCTATATCCCCCATACCAATGTGTGTAGGATATGTCTATCTCCCTTACATATTCCTATGTCTATATCCCCCATACCAATGGGTGTAGGATATCTCTATCTCCCATACATGTTCCTATGTCTATATCCCCCCATACCAATGTGTGTAGGATATGTCTATCTCCCTTACATGTTCCTATGTCTATATCCCCCATACCAATGGGTGTAGGATATCTCTATCTCCCATACATGTTCCTATGAGTGTTTGCGATATCTATATCCCCCATACCAATGTGTGTAGGATATATCTATCTTCTATATGTGTGCCTATGAGTGTTTGCGATATTTTTTATCTCCCATACTAGTGTGTGCAGAATTAATAGAATCTCTCACCCACTTGGGGATGAGCCAGGGAGATCTCAACAGGAGGGGGAAGATTGTTAAGTTGCCAAACACAAGGCTTTGCTGAGTTAACTTATGAATCTTTCCCTGAGGGTTGAGATTACGAATCTCACAGTAAGTGGGTAAATGATTCTTTATTCTTATCCTGTTTCCTCTTTGTGTATCATATACAAAACAAAATGTTAACTTAACAGGCTAAATTCAGAAAATATCAATCATAAGCGACCAGGTAGCTCAAGTGTTAGTCGTCTTGAGTTTGGAGGGTCCTGGGTTGGAATCCCAGTATGGCCATGCAATTTCTCTTTACAAGCTACAAAACTGGCGACCTTCCCAACTCTTATAGACACTTATAAGCTGTCTATAATGAATAGAATAACAACTCACCAACGATGCCTTCGTGATTGACTGTAATTACTGCTCCACTAAATGTCGGGTAGAATGTTTTGATAGGAACAAGACTTTTCTCTGCAGCAGTGTTTGGGTCTACACCCAATGACATCAAGTTAACAGCATTAAATCTGTAATGTACAGGGAAGCCAGTTAACACATCATATATGAGATGGAATAAATACTACAATAAAATAAACAATCAGAAAAGGCTAATGGACAGACAGATAAACAGAAAAGAAAGGAAGGACAGAAACCATAAACTGGTACTAAATCCCCTTACATCTTGTGATGAGTTTATGAAAATTACTATGGCTTGAAAAACATAGACATTCTCCCAGTCACTCATTTATTACTTAAAAGGAAAGCTACTGTCGAGCCATTCTTTCACCACTCCAAACACTTACGAGGGTAGAAATCTCATCATGACATCTCCGTCCCCGGTCGACGCTGATCCTCCCACTCCGTTCCGGGCATATGCCCCTGCTCCCATGATAGGCGAGTCTCCCACTCTCCTACAACAGTAGAATCAGACAGCTGTGTAATTGTTCAATCAATAAATATATCAAAAGCATGCTTTTTATAAGCAAAAATTTATATCATTATATATGCATGTGTATAATAAATGAAGATAAACTTACCGGTATATACAACAAAACTTTTGTTTGAATGTAAATGTTTCTCTGTATATTACAAATTACCAATATGATTATTTACAAATCACAATAAAAAGATCAATAGCCTGAATAGGTAAAGAAATACAACAACAGGAACTGAGCTGTTTAATAACAAAGACATCTTCACACCACTCTGCACCCCGCCCCATTCCAACCCTACCCCAACTGCATTTGCTATATTTCAAAGAAAAACAAAACTTAGGACAAACCATAAAAGTGGTTTAGAAGAGTAATAATGTCTTTCCTGTCATGTGGCAATGACCCTGTTACTGGCTATGATGTACCCTGTATTATTTACCCTGGGATTTTATGATTTAACCCATTTGTAGTCGTTCCTGCAGCGATATGTCCATCAGCATCAATAGCCACCATCCCTATAGTGTCGTGATTTCTCCTCTCCACGCCGTATCTCTTACGAGAGTTATCTCTCTTGGTGTGAGTGTAGTTCTGCCTCACTGATCCATACGGTCCACAGTGCTTTGTGGGGTCTGGTGTGACATCCTGAGTATGACAATTATAGCCTTTTTAATGTTAAACTTCTTCATATTTCCTTTCATTTGAATAACACCTGTCTATTCAAACAATGAAAATAAAAAGTGCCTAGTACCACGGATACACTATTTAAGAACATGTAATGGCAATTTACATTAGAAAAAAGACATGCTCATTCTCGTAATCTTGTTTAACATTTTACAAGAGAGGCAGCATTGGAGTTTAATTGGACACTATGTTGATAATGTATTGACGACATATTCTACTACAACAATCATTTAAGGGCCATTTGTAATTATTCTAGGGAAAATATTGGTTTAGGTAAAATATATCTGTTGGTGAACTACATGTATTGAATGAATATGAAGCATAATTCATTAATAAAAAAACATACTACAACAGTATTTCTATGTAAAAACAAAATAATACATAATCCCTATTATATTTCATGTACCTTTCTAAAGTTTGGCTGGCAATTGTTATTTTTCCAGTCGTGATAAATTTTATCTGAACGAGATGTAGATAAATTTTCTTCCTTGAATCCCATTTCAACAGCAAACTTTGTGGCTAAAAGTAAAAAGTAAATATTTGAAATTCAGTATAAATATTGGCTGATAGTCTCACTTCTAGCAAATCTACATGTTACTGTATATACTTTATGAGTGTAACAGAACTGGACTGGGTCGATCACTGGTGACCTGGTAATAAACATGTACAGTAGTTGGTAGAGCATCTGTTTAGGGTTCGGTGGTTCTGGGTTTGAATCCCAGTCTGGCTGTTCATTCATTTTTCCTCTCATGTTACAGAAGATTCACCCCAGATAACCAGTAAACTCTACATATCTTCATAGAGGACCAGACACCAGCAAGTGATCTGCTACACATACATGTATATGATACATACGTATACATGTATAATAATAATAATAATAATAATATCTTTTATTTATCCAGGGTTACATATTTAGACAATGTCTAGTTTACAATATGGCCCTGCATTAATACATATATACAAGCATGACAACAATTTTAGCATAATAATAGGATGATATGTTACATAAAATAGAATTACAACATTACGAACAGTATATTTAATATCATAGATCAGACAAATCAGGGTTTTGTAAAGTAATGATCCAGATATCTGCCTTTAAAAACACTAACACTACATGAATCTCTAACTGTGTCACTTGTTTCGTTCCATAACACTGAACATGTATATGCAAATGATCTCTTAAAATACGTGGTTCTGGCTGCTGGAACATACAGTTTATTTGTTACAGAAGCTCTAGTAGTTCTTACAACAACATTTCTAACATAGGAAAACATATTATCTAACATCCCCAGGGATTCACAGTGTAGAATTTTGTAAGAAAGAACCATTTTTCTAAAAACATAAAAATCTGCTATTGGCATCCATCGCAATTTTTCAAAAAGAGACCTGGATGCAGTAAGAATGTCACTAACTTTTAATAAGATCCTAGCTGCTCTCTTTTGTTATTTAAAAATCTTATCTACACTAGCTACACAGTATATAATATATAGTTTTTAACAAGACACAGCATACAATATATATATTGTATTAGCTACACAGTACATACACTTACCTAGCTCGCCTACCAGCAGTGTGTGACCTGTGTGATCCATCACTGCCCTTGCCACACCGATAGCATCTTTCACACGACGTATACACCCCACTGCTCCAACATCCATTGTCTTCCTATAGAACGAACACATTTTTTGGACGCATTAAAAGTGACAATATATCGCCTTGATGATGGCAGATTCATGTACATTTATATATATATAACATCAGCACCTCAAATTGTTACGCACAGCTGAATGGTGGTATGATTTATACGTAAAACGAAAAAGGTATTAAGGGTAAGTATAGTTATATCCCTCATAGTCTCCTCTGTCTGTGCCACCACCTGCTGTAATGAAATGTGTGTTTATACTGCAGCTTGCACTATTTAAATCATATCTGTCAAACAGATTATCTGTCTCCAATGATGTTTTTATTCATATTCCACTCCACCTACACATTTAAGGTACTTAAAATAATCCCTTTTTTGTTTGACACTTAAAATCATTATTTTCACCAAATATTAATCCTTAACATTTGCTACTTTATATATCATTTGTAGTATATTGACCAAAAACAATAGTCAATTTTTTGTATTGATCGTACCCGTCCATAATCATAGCATCAAGAGTGACCTCTCCTCCTTCGTCAGGGTCTCCACCGTAGCCAACTGTACCATCGCACTGCTGTGTCTGACAGACTTGACATCCAGCAACCACAGCATCAACACTGCTGCCCTTCTGAGTGTACAGACGTGTCCATGCTTGAAGAGAAAATAATAACCTTGATTCTGTATATATCAATGTATAACATCGACATACTTGTATCTTGTCTATTGACAGACTATAGAAACCTGTTACAATTTACATAAAGTATCACAATTCTACTGTGGAACCCAGGCAAGCCTGTTCTAGCGATGTCAAAGACGGTGCATACACCACATAAGTTTGTCATTAAAATACTGGAATCTGCCAGCTGAGAACAAATATACAATCATTTGGGGTGTCATATTTACCGAAAGATGATTTAAACCCTTAATTATAACCTGTAATACTTACCTCTTCCTTCACAACTTACTTCCCAGGACCTCAACCAGTCCGGGGTTCAAATTTACCCCCGATGTTCTACCAATTCAATTGAGCTACCTGATCGCCGCCAATCGACTGAAATTCAGTTCCACTATATTCCTCCTTCCTTTTTCTAAGTCTATGTCCCCGAAGACAGCACCATTTACCACAAAGTTAGTGTTAGAAGTTTATATAGTGAGATACTTTTGACAGGCGGTCGCAGTCGGCAAAATCGTATCCGATAGAAAAAAGGGCGACCAGCAGCCTCTTATGATATAGGAGTAGGATATCCCCTTGCTAAGCATTCATCTATTGCTTGCAACAAGGGTTGGCAAGCTAGCCAATTTTGTAGCAGGAGGAAGAGACGGGGGTTCAAATTTGAGACCCTCTGAACTCAAGACCGACGTTCTACCAATTGAGCTACCTGGTCCCCGACGATCAACCCAGTCAAGTCCCGATACACATGTAAACTAAAGGACACCTATTGTTTTAGTCCGAGTTTCCTCTGGCCCTTACACCAGACTTATACATTTTGACATATATATAGATGTCTGGTGTGGGATCTATGTGTCAAAATGTCTATGTCTGGTGTTAGGGCTACTCCTATCACATAAGAGCCCGCTGGTCGGCTTTTTTCCTTCGGATATAATTTTGCCGATGCCTGTCAAAAGCATCTCGGCGTGTATACCTCTAACATTGTTGGGGTAGTGTTAGGGCCAGAGGAAACTCGGACTTACTATTGTTTATGATCTGTAACTTGTAAATAAATGATAAATGAGAGAAACAACCCATTCAATATAAAGGCTTACCTCCCATCGTGGCGTTGGTAAACGGCCATGTGTTGACAACGACCGGTAGACCAGCAGACACTGCACAAAACAACATAGATACCACTAGACACAGCCAAGCGTCCATGGCAGCCGCCATCTTTATATCATGTGACTTCGAATTCATACATCGTATGCGTGTTTCTAAAATACAAGGTGGTGATAGTCCGGATAATTGCTAATGAACCACCTGAACTATTGTTATATTAATATATGTCCAGGCGCGTAGCTACCATGTAAGCCAATAAGCCCGGGCTTGCACATGATTTTGACAAGTATAGGTTTTCATCACGTTTTTTTCTTCTTACTGATACTATAAAGTGGAGTTTAAGTTTTGAATATATAGTATACATATGTAATTCCTCAGATATGATACATTGTTAATAGTTAGTGGGGCAACCTCGCTTCTCGAAATGACCAACAAATAACAGGAGCAAGTATAAGGAACCAGTTACAAATCACAAACAGAAGACGAGACTGAGTAAAGGTGACAGTGGGGGTAACCTCGCTTCCCAATTAACTCGGATCAGATTATGAGAAAGACAAACCCAATTGCATGTTCACTAATGCAGAAGTATCAAATGCATTTATCAAGATTAGGTAAAAACAAAACAATGTATGTATGGGGGGTGTACAAAGCAATACCGACGGTTAATCTTCAGAATTATACTGGATCCACGTAAATAGGTATATAGATATACAAAACATAGGATTTTTTTCTTGCGGATTAAAAAGAGAAAACAGACATCAAGACGTGGTAAATGGCTCCTGAGACGTTCTAGAAAACAAAACTTTCATGGGGGAGATCTCCCAGACCCCCCTTAAAGGGGGGGGAAGACCCCTCCCATACTCTCCCCGTGCTCGTGCTTCGGGGGCGGGGGGCTGCCTTCGGCAAACCTATGTCGGGCTTACACATGGTAAAGGGGCTAGCTACGCGCCTGATGTCTGATGATAACATATCCAGATTTGAAAATTGGGTTCATTTAAAACACATAATTAAGCATATACTGCAAATGCTCAGCTATGCTCATTTGTTATAATAAAGGAATCAAAATAAAACATAACTTAAAGGCGGGCGAGTACAAAACCCGGAATGCACTCAGGCGTGGAGATTATTTTGTTGATTTATTGTATATATTAAGCTGTATCTCCCTCAATACGTTTTGGATTGTTATTCGGAGACCAGTCTAGGAAAGATAATTTTATACCTGTCACAATGATATAAGTTATGCGTACCATTATTTAATATTGGAAGTGAAAGTGGTGGCCGGAATGAACCACTATGAAATAAAAATGGCAATATTTTCAACTGTTTTCGTTCTAATAAATACTCATATCTCAAAAAGTACTGAACCGATTTTTGTTCGGAGACCACTCTGGTCAAGGGAATTTTCCACTTGTTAATATGATACCAACTGTTTAAACACATCTTTCATATTAATCGCAAAAGTGGTGGCCGGAATGAATCGAAATCGTTTGAAAAATGACGAAAAAAGTATAACTTTCTCGTAACTTTCTGTCTTTTTTTACCCATTACTCGTTAATCGCAGAACCGATTTTTGTTCGGTGACCACTCTAAGCAAGATAATTTTATAATCTTTAAGCTGATATAACTTTTATTAATATACATTACAAACTCGATGCAAAAGTGGTGGCCGGAATGAACC